CAATAACAGGAATGGATGCTGGGTGGAGGAAACCCATTTGTTTTCCCCAGGGCTGGAGATCAATGTGACTTCAAAGTTGGAGGTGGCTTTGCTGAGCCCTACAAGGGTGAATGAAGGCTGGTTTTATGCATATAAACATCATTGCAGCTCAGAGGGATTGAGGTGTAAGGGACCCCATTTTACAGGACAAGAAGAAATAAGGGCCTGGGGGATGCAGTGTTAGAACACAGAAACATTTAGGTTGGGAAAGACCCAGAAGATCATTGAGTAAACACTCAAAGGAAGAAAAACTCCATGTTCTGAGGGGGTTTGGTTAAAAGAGTAAGTAAATCCCTTTAAATCTCTATTGCCCCAATGGGGTACAGTGGAGGCTCCAGTTCAGCTTGTCCTCAACACCAGCGCTCACCTCCCTGAGCAGAGAGAGAGGGGCTTTGGAGCCCCTCCATCCTCACCCCATCACCGTGGCATCGGGGCACATCCGGCACCCCCAGACACACGCCGCAGCGCAGCCCTATCCCTCCTCATTCCCCACACAAGCAGCTGGAAGCGGGATCAATGGGACCGTCCCCACTGGACTCGCTTTGCCCTCGGCAGCTCCTGGCTGGCTGGAATGCCGCGTTCCACGGTGCAGCCACACTCCCACCTGCCGGCTGCTTCTCCGAAAGGAAGAGCAGGGACAAGAAACGGCCTCAATGCCTGAACTGATGGCTTTCCCCTTGGGTATTGCTGAGGGAAGCCGAGAGAGCCCCTGTCTGCAGCGGTGGCTGCAGCACCAGCGAGGTAAGCTTGCCTGCCTGTGCCTTCCACTCAATCCCTTCTGTAAGGCAGCTCTCATTTGGGGCTCTATCTGCTCGCCTGGGAGCAGGCAGAGCTCCAGGCAAGTGCCATGGATGGCAACGGGACCCTCTTGTGCACAGCACATCCCATGCCATTGGTAGATGATACTGAAGGGACAAGGTTTAGACCATGAAAACCCTTTGCACCTTTAGAAAGGACGATCAGCAGCTCCTCGCCCCCATGACTGCAGCTCAGCACCAGTCACCAGCTCCAATTTCCTTTGGAAGCTTAACAGAACTATTAATAAGCACGAGTTCACCTTTAAAGATGTGCCCTAATGTGAGTCGGCACCGCTTGTTGCGATGCAAAACCTACGGGCATAGGTACTTCTGAAAGGGTTATTCACTGCCCCCAACTGGCATGGGGGGAGCAGTTACACATTGAGCACAACGCTTTCCCTCTCTGATAGACAGTAAAGAAAGCCAGGGACAAGGACTTCCATCAGTCATCACAAGTCACCATCAGTCATAAGCCGGTGGCAGATGAAAGGCAGCAAGGTGCTAACACAACGTAATTCCATTGCCTCGCAGAGGTAGCTGACAGGGAGCATCAGCGCTGCAATCAACAATGCAACAGCATCCCAGCTCATCCAATCCGATCCTGAGCTACTTCAGCATCCTTGGTACACCTGTGAACCTGAACTTCAGTCCTTAACCCCAGCAGCTTTCTTAAAGCTTAATCACATCCCTTTCAACCGTGTTTACAGACTAGTACAGGGTGATGAAACCTGGTTTCACTTCACCTTTAATACAGTGAACGCACCTCCATCAGGAGAACCTGACCTTTGGATGCGCGTTTTAACAAAGAGAGGAAATTGCCAAGGTTGGTGCTTTTCAATGTTAATAACAAGGCAAGAGACCTTGTAATTAAAAATAAGCTTAAGGAGGCTGCTAAGTGATTCTGATGGTGATTTAAGGACCAATTACAGAAAGTATGGCATTCTTCTCTTTCTAGTTAGATACACTGGAACAGCGAAGCTGCGAGCTCTGATCTTAACCATTTATTACCCTCATATAACCCCGTATCAGAAAAGTTTAACAGAAACCATTATAGGAACTCCTCTTTAAAGGCCACTTGATTGTAAAAGGAAAGGTGTCAGAAGGATGTTATTAGTTCTGCTGCTCTGTGGGGGCTGCGATACACGGCCTTGAAGACCACTGCTCTATCAGCCCTACGTGAGGATTTAGCACTCCCATAAAGCAACTCAGCCTTGCAGGAGCACAAAATGCAGCTTCGGGTTGGATTTAGGGCAGGAGAGGGAAGCTGCATGGCCGAGCAGGCGCTGTGGGGTTAGGGGCCCATGCAGACACCATCGCCTTCGCCCCCCTCCCCAGTGAACACACCCAGGGATTTACCCTCCAAGTACCAAAGGAGCCTCAGATCCTGAGGCTGGCCCAGCCCCTCAGCAACAACAACCAGCACACTGATGCTGCAGCGACCCCTCACCCGGGCTCTGCAGCATAAACCATTCTTGGTTGGGCTTGGGTTGATGAGCGAGCTTAGAAAGGCTTTACAAAGACCCAGATTTAACAGCTTATTGCTACTGAATGGGGACATCCCCACCTCTGTGCTATGCAATCCAAGTGTTTGCCTTAAGCCACCTCTTAAGGCAGCACGGTAAATGAGCTCAGTGCCCAGAATGACTGAAAAATCAAGCGGGGAACAGTGAAAAGAGGAATGGTTTTACTGGTTCAGAACTCACCTGGGAGAGGAGAGGAGCGTGATGCAGCAAGGGGAAGACCGGAGCCTGCTCTCCACACGTTAGGGACTCTCAGCAACACAACCCCATGGCTGGTGACACTCACAGGGCTTCCAACCACCCCTCTCCTTCCTTCCTCCCTGAGGCAGTGGCTCCCTCCCTTCTCAGCTGCAACCAATTAAGGCAGAAAACTGAGGCCCAAACAAGCGCCAGCTGGGGCAGATCTCATTGCTCAGCACAGCAGCTTTCCATGGCCAATGAAAGCAAACAGCATCTCACCCACCTGGATCATCACTGCGCTCCTAAACCCACCGCGCCTCCCAATACCCACACCAATGTTGGATCCACCTTGGCCTGAAGCTGCTCCCTGCTTGGCAACTGAGCAAAGGCTGCCCAAACGTTGAGTTAAAGCTGTAAGAACATCCCCCTTCTGCTAATATTAAGTCATCCATGTTAGAACCACAGAACCATCCCTTTGTGTGATCTCTGTAGCATGCAAATGTGTTTGAGAGGTCGCATTCATCTCCTCATTGCAGGTTAATTTCCCGTTCCTCAACCCAGCCCGCTCAGATAAACCTTCCTCTGCTCCACTGAGTCCTGTGCACTGGTGCTAAATGAGAATGGAACTATAAATAGTGTAACCCACCTGATTTCCTGGCTAGTAAAAGCGGAACGTTTCATTTGGTTAACCCATCCTCTTCATTCTGTCTGCGCCCATTGCAGAAAGCCCAAGCACCATAAATAAAGCTTCAGCTTTCATCCTGGGAATGGTCTATTCCCTTTATCAGAATATTGATGCAAGTCATAACTCACCTTCATGGGAGAGAGTTGCCTTTCTTGGGTAAAGAAAGGCGTGCAGATGTTCCTGTTGGTAAGACACAGTATCAATTGGCTTGCTTTTGCCTCTATTTGATCCCAGCACTTGAGGAATTCCTGATTGCCTGCTTTTAATTTTCCACGAGCTAATTCAGTTGAAGAAATGAGAACCCAGTAGCTCAATCCCCATTACCTCAGCAGCAAATGGCTTTCATTGCACATGGAGTGACACATGCCCTGCTCTCCTGGAGCCTGTGTAAAACTGGAGCTTGAGAAACCTTTCCCTCTCTATTGGTACCGTTAGGAAACCGTGTGTCCAGGCAGCAGGGCAGTTCTCCTGCCCAGGCACCAGCCCAAGGGCTACTGGGAATGAAAAGGTACCCTTGAATAAAACTGCTGAAGTCACTGTGTGCATTTAACATCTGCTTTACAAGGGTGCAGTCCCTCCTCTGCAGTACCAAGATGACTGGGATGATACAACCCAGCACAACCAGTAGCCAGGGTGGAGTGATCATTCACCATTTCTTACCTTCGTTTTCAGTATTACCTTGCTACAAGTGAAGGTGAGCAATGCAGAGACTGGATGGTGGGATGTCACTGACAACAGGCTCATTATTTAGCCTTCATCTTTTGAGGACACAAATGACCAGTGTTAACCAGCACTGCAGCCTCTAGCTTGTGCTGGCATTACAGCATAGATGCATCCACAGACTTCCTGCTTTGGCACAACCAAACCTACCTCTTGGGGCAACCTGGTACCATCACTATCAACCTGATGGGGTGAATCTTGTTCAAAGTTCTTAAATACATCAGCATCCTAGAAGTGAATCTGTTCAGACAATTCCCCAAATGAAACTCAAAGAACTCCAAGGATTTCAAATTCATGGGAATTCCCTGCGAACTCAAAACCATTTGGATAAGCTGCCCTTAGCACCATTAGCAAAGAGCCTCATTAAAAACCTGTTTGTCTAAATACTTAACAACAGGTTTGTGTTATCTGTGAGCTCAAGATGCTGTGCACAACAGGTAACTGCTCACCTTAAGTGCTTGGACTTAAGTACCTGGAGTGAGACAAAAGCTGCACCCTGCTAAAGCCAACACACATGCAAGCCATGGTTTCATGACCTCGAGTATCAGTTATTTAACTCACAAGATTTGGTTTTCTCCTCTAAGGTAACCTCATGCACCCTCAGAGCAGACAGCTAAATGGACATAACAGAAGAGAATGTATTACCTTTTGCATTATAACCAAAGTGAGCTGCAGTCCATTAGGCCTAAACCCAACATTTAAACATGCTAAAGGAGCTCTGCAAAGTAACCTTTCCTTTTGGATCCCAACCACAGCAGTGTTCAGCTTTAGTGCAGGTATGCTCAGGCAGGAGTTTCAAATGTCTTCCATAAGCATTAGTAATTATACAAACCAGGTTAAAAGTTACTTAAAAGTGACAGAACTTACTGATTCCTACAGCTTAAAAGGTTTCATTTCAGCCTTGCTATCTGCCCTACATACCACTTGACAGACACAAAACTCCATGCACCCCTACACAGGGTGAATTTAATCAGTAATGGAAAAGATGGTTTAGAACCATCTTTCATATAAGCTCTTTATCATCACGTGCTGTACAGAAGCAGTTCAGATAAAACACCACAAACTTATTGTTGTCCTTTATTTTAAAAACCTTATTCAAAATATTAAGTGATACAAGTCCAAATAGGATAAAAATTACTGCAAGAAAAGAGTTGAGGGCTGTTTTGTTTGTGCTTTACTTCTTGTGGTTACGGAAAGAATGCATTTAACAGTAGGATTTAGAACTTTTAGCACTTCATTTGTATAGTATCATGCCTTCAGCATCCTCATGCCAACCACTGGAAAGGCGATTTCCTCATAATGTTACAGGGTGACTTGAATACCAAGTTCTTAATTATGGGCTCCTGCTCCACCATTATTTACACATTTCTCCGTTTGAAAACTCAATGACAAACAGAATGTACAGAAAAAAACCAAGATTTTATATTTTACAACTCAGGAAAACATAAATAATGGAAGTACAAAAGACAAAGTAAAAAAAACAAAAGCCAAACCCAAAACTACTGTACCAGTAACGTGATTGACACTAATGCATAAATGTCTGTCCAAAATCGGTGTGCTGTCACAGCCCCACACATACACCAGCACTTTCACCTGCCTGTTACCTGGGTCAGAATAACAACATCAATTACTCTTCCATTTTTCAGGCCTCTCCCTTTTATAATATAGCAAACCATGGAACTGTTCCCCAACTGTCTTAAAATTCAACAGGAAGCTCTGATGTATCAAAAGCCTGTCGACTGTATTTTAGTTAGATCATTCCACAAGGCTTCTTTTCCATTCATTAGTTACAAAGACAATGAAATAGCCACAAATACCATGAGAGGAAAGAACTAGACAGTCAAGAAGCTGCATACCTTCACAAAGGTCTTGAGTATTTTAAGGAAATATGTAACTTCTGAACTAAAATGGGTTATGTACCATGAAATTATTTACTGCATGACCACATACAGAAGTTATGAAATTGCCATGCCAGTAATTCTGCCTAACATAGGCTCAAATTATGCAACAAGAAAACAGAAACCAGAAAAAAAAAACCAAGACGATTTGCAGCATCAGGATTTAAGCATAGAAAAAGGTAATTATATTTTAAGTTTGCAATATAGGGGGAATTATGAGCCATATAAGTGATTAGCAGAGAGACCATTAATTTGATTTAGTGATGCCAAAGTCATTAATTTATTAGACCTAAGATACTTTATGCTTATTTTTTTGTATTACCACTATTAAGACTGCTCCAGACAGAAGGGATGATGCTTAGTGAATGGAAAGAGCACTAAGTACTAAAGTCTGTATCTTTATAGTTGATATAAAACCTGACCAAAGTAGCAAACAAATGTATCATGCCCTTGATCTTCCATGAGATTTAATCTCAAAAACATCCAGGTCAAAGAGGGTGCATCTCATTTCAGTACAAGCAGCATATTTAGAATACCTGAATATCATTACATGACTAGGCAGGCAAAGAGTGGTAAGTTCAGCAAACTCAAATCACAGTGCTTTCAAAAGACATAGTCATTAGTTATCTTGAGGGAAGGCATCGCTTCATTAACATTCTGATCTAGCCGATGGTATTCCACTGTCCTAGAGCACAACCCATCCCTCCACCTTCGGCTCTGGACCAGTAAGAAGATCTGGAAGAAAAAGCAGACAACTTAAAGAATGCTATGGAGAATCATTTTGGGTTTGAGAAACACATTAATGGTTCTATTGACATCACAGTTCTAACCCCTTGATCCTAGCAATCGTGTTACTGTGGCTATAGAACAGCGCACTGATAGTCACTTCCACACTGTCCTTGCCACAAAGTCACCTACCAGCAACCTCAGCTGGAGCTTGGCAAAAACATGTCATTCAACCCAGAACTCTTCCAGTAGTAGCTTCACAAGTACTGAACATTCAGACTATTAAACTATCCCCACATGGTGACACTTGTTAGCTTATTGCATAGCAAAGACAAGGCATTTTTATCATTGATGTAACCTTCCCTCAAAGTTAAATTTCCAAATGTAACACCTTGTTCAACATTTTCCCCCATAAAGACTTGGCAATGCACATTCCAGATACACCACTGCACTGTAAAGCAAAAGTCTGGGGTTTTTTTTAGCTGCGTTTTCAGGCTCCCCCAAATCCTTGACCAAATCAGTGTTCTCTATACAAATAAAACCTCAGTTTTCCTCATTTCTAAAGATTAACTTATGATTTAATTGCAAATTTGTGCATGCATCAGAGAATTGCTTTGCTCTAAAGAAATGGCTACCTGAAAACACTTAACTTCGAGCTTCTCTATGTGAAACTGGAGTGTTAAACATTTCCTTTTCCTTAAAGTCTGTAGTTAAGTCCTTGGAGTATGTATGATAGAAAGACCACCTTGAAGTGAATACTTATTATGAGGATTATCACAGTTGTAACAGGACCATTCCCACGCTATTTGGGATTAAACCTCCCTTAATTTGCTGTTTATAATCCTGTGCAGAAACAGAATTACTCAATCACGTTCAGTTAACTTGGCTCTGGTCTCATTTACAGAAGTCATGTTGTACACTGCCAGAGTCCTTACTGAACTGACTGATTACTGATGGTATCAATCAACTGATTTTCTAATCTAGAATGTTTTACTCAAGTTCATTTTCATTGTGCAGATAAACTGTCAGTAATGATCTGCATATTAGTATCCCAAGAATAAGCAGTCAAAGATACCATTCTCCCAACAGCCAAGTTCCTTTTCCTAGGTGTACAAGGCAATGCAACTCTATTTCAACCACTATAGCTGTTTCTCTCAGCCTTTCACAGCATACCTACCTTCCTCTTATTGTGATAGGTGACATAAACAACAGCTACTAGGAAGGCAACTACAACCAGATGAAAAAAGAAATGCCCATCTTCTTCTTCTTCTTCCAACCCCGTGACAGAAACATCTTTTATCTTCGCATCAAGGCTCTTGATTTCCTCATTGTAGTTACTAATGGTGTCAGAGTCATCATCTTCTGGAATCTCTAAAAGGTCTGGGTTGTATCTGGAATTCGAGGTCACTTCATAAGGATCATAATCATCTCCATCTGACTCCATAGTTTCTTTTATGATGGGGGGTGAACTATTTAGTGTGTCTTTCAAATCTGTTAGAAGATCTTCTTCCTCAATTCTAGTATCTTCAGAAGCATCAACGTCAATCTGAGATACTGAGCTAGCAGTCACCGCACGAGACAGGGGTGGAGAACCCCCTTTCACTGTAGATGGTTTTACTGAAGTCACCGAAACGATTCTAGCTGTTGTTGGGAGCTCCTTGTTCTTTGTTGGGCTTGCTTCTTTTCCGGTTGGGGTTATACCCTGCAAGCTGTCTGTCACATTCTGGGATCTGCTCACTGTTTCATTCTCACTTCTAGAAGAAATATTCTCCTGGAGCACCTCTGCTCCCACAGACTCTGAGAAAAAGAGGAGAAACAGTCAATATTAAGCACAAGGCACTAACTTGTGATACCCAAAAATCATTGCAAGGCATTCACTTTATAGACAAGAAATCATACTATGAACAGGGCATATTTCACACTGTAAACCTTGGAGGAATCCCATGCAGAAACACACTCCTGTACTTCGGCAGCTTCAAAAGAGAAGTCCTGAGGGGGACAGGAATTAAAGCCTGGAAGCACCAGTATGCCAAAGTGTCCCTGAATAATTGAGCATGTGCTATTTTCCACACTCAGAACTTGAGAGATGTGTCCTCCCCTCCCTCTGTGGATTGAGGGTGTCCTGTAGAATTGCATTTTCTCCATCATCCAACTCTTTCTCCCACAGAATTTGCTGAGGTCTGCAGAGGAAGAAGCTCTCAGTAAAGCTCTTCCAGAGTTTTTACTCTTTCATCACTGCCTGTTTTCCCAGCCAAAAGAGAGAACCCGTTGTGATGTCTCCTTCAGGCAGGACACAAGGTCCTGGCAGCTCTTTGCAGGCACTTATTTGTATTGAATTGGTAGAACACAGAATGATTTCCAACCTTATGTTAACTCAGATGGAAGTCCTGAAGCACAGCTTATAAAACAAGCTGAAGAAAGGACAATGTGACTGCATATGCTCCTGTAGGAAAGCCTTTCATCAGCAGCAAATTATTATAACCAAGTAAGTCAGTGACCGTGCTACGCAGCAATGCACCCTCAGGCACATTCATAATCACTGCGATGCCAGGACAGCTTTGCAGAACCACATAGAAACCAAGGTGAGCATTAAAACCCCATGCAGGGCCCATCATCCTGCTTTTGTACCCAAAGGAAAGTGAAAAAGGATGCAGAGGGAGTTTCTAAATAGCCAATGGGCTTTAACCCTAAGACAAAATAGCAAACTCTTCCTGTTTGTAGCACATCACTGCCAGACTCAAATCAGGAGGCACCTTAAAAATGAAGAGCACATTTGAGACTTTCAGTACACCATCATTTAAATAGCGGAGCCATCCCTGCCTTGGATTTTGGCAAGCCAAACTCATTTTTCCTCTTTTAGTTAAGGAAGTAACAACACTTCCATTAAGCATTCCCAAGGAGTTCTCTGGAACATTACAGGTTCTAGAAAAGCAGCATTCAACCAACTGCTTGTGTCGAATAACCCATAAGTAAAACACACAGGGTACACTGAATCGTGTTATTCATGAATGGGGTATTTACACAGGGTCAGTTACAACAGACTTCTTGTTTACATGGTACACTCTTCCACTGGGAATTACTCTGCAACCAAAGAAAACAGAGAAGACTCAACCAATCCCATATGAACGAGGCATTATGGAGCCTCTCTGCTGAAGTTTAAGTCAACTCCTTGACATTTAACATGCTTGCTGTTGAAGAAACTACTAGCCTGAATTATCACACCGACATCAACTTGTTCAGTTCTAGCACAGGGCAAGTTTAGGGAATTCTCATCCTCCCTCAGCAATCAAGCCGGCTAATTGCATACATGGAAATAAAGAGGAGGACAATTTATGCAAGAGTTTCATATTTATAGGTAGTTGGCATGTGGGTAAGATGGGTAAAGCTTACTGCTACCCTCACCAAAGTATTAGAAAGTAATAGCTAAATTGTCCAAAATACCACCAAGCATGTTCTTCCTATAGAACTGCACTGTGTGTGTCCTATCAAATTATTCTTACACTCTATTAGAGTGAAGGTTTTAGAAGGACATACACTTAAACGCACAGGACTCCCACCAAGCAATGCTGCAGCTTCCTGTTATTCCTAAAAGAAGTTAGTTTTTGTTTTATTAAGAATAGCAAGTTTAGCAGCTACACCACAATTGACTTATGCTGTCTACCCAAAGCTATTTGGTGTTAGAAAGGGTGGCTGCACTGTGTGCAGTTACACAACAGGGTCAGATGATGTTAACACGTAATGCCCGGGCTACAGAGATGCTTCAGCTTCAGAAACGAGATACTAACGTTCAATCACCATGACAGAACTAACAACACAGCCCTCTTAGCAAACAGTGAGCAGAACAACACCCGACAGGGTCAAATTTCACTTCCAGAACTTGGTTATTAGAAAACAAGGTGTTCCATGGGGGTTTTTTTACATTAAAAAGCCTTGATTTCCTATAGGTTTGTGTCCCACATCTTGAACCTCTTCCGTCCTTACTGCCATCCCATCACACCAGCTGAGGGGCAACAAAGAGAGCGGGTTTGGATATACTGACTGCCACGGAAGAAAGGAACCAACAGCTCAGAACTGCCCCTTCCTTTCCTTCAGTCATTCCCTTCCTCTCCACCGCCCAAATGATGCTCCAACTAAAAACAACAAAATCACCGCACCTGAAATACACATTTCTTATTAGCATTTGGTTACGGCTGGTTGAAGGGAAGTGGGAGAAAGGAAACGGCCAAGCTGGACGGGGCTTGGAGCAACCTGCTCTAATGGAAAGTGTTCCTTTGGGGCTTAAGGGTCCTTCCAACCTTAAGTTCCGTTCCAAGCCAAACCACTCTGTGATTCTACGACTTAACTAGAAGTCGTCTTGCACAATAACAAGCTTATATGGGGTTAAGGGGCCTAAACACAGGCATCCCACTGGAATAACCGGAAGGAGGTATTAACTCCGATGGGGAAAGCAGGCAGCTACGCCGACCTTCACACGGTGCCCACCAGCCGAGCCGCCTCTCGCCCACCCGGACACTAACCACGCTTCGGCCGAGCCACCGAGCCCTAAACCGCTCCCTACCCGCGACAACAGACAACCAACCAAGCCGGGGCCGGCCCCACCGGCGCCCCTTCGCTGAGGAGGGCGGCGCAGCGGCGGTGCAGGCCCATAGCCGGCCGCACAGGCCTGAAAGCGCTGAAAAGGACTCCGGTGAAAGACCAGCGGGGAGGGCGGCCGCGCACACCCACATCCACATCCCCCCACCCCAGCCACCCACCGGGCCCGGCCCGCGCTCACCGGTGGTGGCCTGGCCGCGCACCGCCAGGGTCCATCCGCACAGCAGCAGCAGCAGGAAGCAGAGGGTGCAGCCCGCCGGGCCGCGCCGACCGCCGGCGGCCGCCATCTTGCCCGGCAGCCTGCACCGACGTGGCGATGGCACCGCCCCCCCGGCGCGTGAGGGGCGGAGGGGAGGGGGCGGAGCCCTGGGAGGGGGCGGAGCCCTGCGCGGGGCCGGAAGTGGAGGAGCTGTGCATGCGCAAAGGGCTGGGCGGGATGGCGGAGTGAGGGGTCGGGAAGCCGTGGCAGAAAGCGGCCCTTTTCCTTGTGTTTCCCATTATTTTCTCCTCTTTCCTCTGTTGTCTCCTGCCTCCTTCAGGCGGAGGTTGATGTTCGGGGTTGGACCTTCCCCCCAAAGCCGCTGCCCCACACGCACGACTGGGCTTCACGCTATAGTGCCCGTGCAATGCTTTTGGCAGAGTTATGTAGATTTCTGGCCAAGTTTTCCTGATTTCACCCCAAGTGCGAGGAGCCTTGAGGCTGATCACAGCCCACAACAGACGATTCAGAGGTGAGAGAGCCAAGAGCAAGGGGCCCAAGGGCTTATGGGGACCCCAAGCGCACACCGGATGCAGAGCATGCAGGGACATAAGCTGATCTTGAGCATTTGCCTCGTTACTATGAGCTGGTTGCAAGGGGTTTGTTTAAATGGGTGAAGTCTGAAGAGGAGGACTTCCCCCTGCAGCGTTAGGTTCCGTATCTGAGGTGAGGCCCACAGGATGTGCTCGGCAATACCTGTGGTAAGGGGGAAAACAGCCAGCGTTGTGCAATGTGTGGCTGTCACTGGCAGATCCAGGCTCACGATGTCCTAATGCCATTGCCTCATGAGGCACATCCTCCTGTACCACAGCCCCTCGCCATCTGAGACTGCTTACACATAGAATAGTTCAGGTTGGAAAGGGCCTTAAGATCATCCAGTTCCAACCCCCCTGCCATGGGCAGGGACACCTCACACTAAACCATGGCACCCAAGGCCTCATTCAACCCGGCCTTGAACACTGCCAGGGATGGAGCATTCACAGCCTCCCTGGGCAACCCATTCCAGTGCCTCACCACCCTCACAGGAAAGAATTTCCTCCTTATACCCAATCTAAACTTCCCCTGTTTCAGTTTTAACCCATCACCCCTTGTCCTATCACTACAGTCCCTAATGAAGAGTCCCTCCCCAGTATCCCTATAGGCCCCCTTCAGATACTGGAAGCTGCTCTGAGGTCTCCACTCAGCCTTCTCTTCTCCAGTCTGAACAGCCCCAACTTTCTCAGCCTCCCTTCACACAGGAGATGCTGCAGCCCCTGATCATCCTCATGGCCTCCTCTGGACTTGTTCCAACAGATCCATGTCCTTTTTATGTTGAGGACACCAGAACTGCACACAGTGCTCCAGGTGAGGTCTCACGAGAGCAGAGCAGAGGGGCAGGATCACCTCCTTCGACCTGCTGGTCACGCTCCTTTTGATGCAGCCCATGAAATAAAGCCTTAATGAAAAGCCACTGAACTTTACCCCAACCGACAGCTGTTCGTTGCTCACACCTATTTCTACATAGATGAGTAATGCAACTTGGTGCATTCTGCAGTGAAAGATAAGTCACGTTATCTTGTTTTCCTCATGAGCTAAACGCATGTATGCAGTTGCCAGCACTCAGCAAGCACTAAGAATGTGGCTGTATCTAGAACTTAAACCTACTAACTATTCTGTGTGTGTGTGTGCTACAAAATAAACACTAAGATGGTGCCAGTCTGCTTCAGGAGCCAAGAATTAATATCAAAAGTGTTTTCACCATTAATACAAAAGTAAAAGGTGACATTTCAGTATTTATTCAAGTTGGGTTTGGGTTTGATATCCATTTTTAGTAGTGTCAAGTACAGCATTTTGGGGTCTAGTTCCACACAAAATGGAAGACTCTCTAAAAATGTACCCATTTAGTTGCTAAAAAAAAGTGGTAATAAAACAAAGCTCCATTTGAAATTCCGTGATGCAACAGCTATGTGATTGCAGTTACAAAGACTCTTCCCTGATTATGTCCCTGTCTTACAAGCTTGCCAGTCTGTGCAAGGGGAAGGAACCACAACACAGGACAGGGAGTATTGGCTGAGTCACATCAAACCTCCTCCGTGACGGACTTGCACAAGGTGGACAACCTAAAGCACCCTGGAGACAGCAGCAGGTGTGAGATGGCCAAAGAACACAAACCATTCCTGAAACACCTAGCTAAAAAAGGAGTAATTACAACCAAAAAAAATCCCTTTTTCAGACACGTTTGCACATTCCATCGTGAACTGAAACCTCAAGTGATGGGACATTTTGCTGACAGAATTAACAGTACCATATAGTGGTCTGAGATTCTTCACATCTCAGGTTTTATATCCTTTTATACTATTAACATATTCTTTGTGCAGTCAATACGTTAGTAAAGGTAATCAATGCCTTCCTACTTCCTATCGTGTGGCAGCTGACAGACATGATGGGCAGGAACATTCAAAAGGAAAAGCCTGGAATTAGGATTGGTTTTTATGCTTTTGTCTCCATGTCTTGAACAACATCATTTTTAAAGCTTAGCTGTCTTTAACCAGGACTAGCAGGACTGATACTGAGCAATACTTGCATCCCAGACAAACATTGAAAGGTACACTATATTCTGAAGGTAGCTATGCTGTAGTTTTGATTGTGGAATCACTCCTTACGCTTCAAATTCCAATCCTAGACCGAGTTTGTGTCCACCAGCGTTGACGTTCTTGCCATCCAACAAAGCTGACAATGTCAGTTTGATACCTGCGAAATAGAGAAAAGTGAGTGAAAAAGACAAGTTTTACAATCAGAATGAGCTTTATGTTCAATAAGTGCAGTGTCTGCATTACTGGGCAGCTGGGTTAAGGTAATTTGGCAGCTAGCCTTGTAAGGACCAGCATTTTGAAGCAATTTGCAGATAAGAAATCTTTATGAATTATGAAAGTTATAATAAACCACGGTGATAGATCCCTTTTATCATTCCAGGTAATTAAAGCTCGAAGGCAGTTTGCTGCCGGTCTGATTAATCTAATTTTAGAGTCCAGGACTATGAAAAATTGGGACCTTGATACATACCCACCTTTCTGAACCACTTTAAAATCTAGGGAGGAAAAGGCCCAAGCTCTGTCTACTGTAATATCTCATGTCCTTCTGCTCGGTATTGTGGCAGCAGATTTATTAGACTACATTAAACCAATTTCACAGCGGTAAGATTGCCCTCTTCCTGCACCAGAGGACCTTGAGAAAGTCACATTTTCAAGCAAAATAAACTCTGCAATAGGAAGCCTCTGAAAGTATTAAAAAGGCATTTACTTATCTGTGAAATACCTAACTGTAGATAACATTTTGCATCACCACAAAGGAGTGTGTGACTGGTAAGTGGCCTCTAGTAATTCTGCTGCCAACAGACATTCAACGTTAACAGAGGAGTCAGTAACATTTTGTGACAAAAACCTGATATTTCAAGATTAAAATATGACTTGATTGATTCTCAGTTTCTCCTGCATAGACTCACCTGGCTTTAAAGTCTGAGTGTATCCTAATCCGATCAGGCTGGAGTTGTTCACTTTAGCCTTAAAAGGAAAAAAAATACCACACGTAAATGATTTGGTGTCTTGCTTCAGAGTCCTTCCTGCTTGAAGACTGAGGAACACCTTTAAGGCAGGCACAGGATTTCATGTGTTAAATCACAAAAATAAATATATCTAGGATTATTTTTGCCATAACTTAAAGCTAAAATTTCAACAAGTCTACAGTCACTATGGGAAAACAATGTTTTATTAACATAGGTTTTGATTTTGTTCAAGAGTGACACAAAACCCCCTCAAATATGAGTAAACATTCTGCATCACTTCCGAGGCAAATCCTGTGCTTGTGCTCTCATGCTGCCAAAAGCAAGACAAATACATTTATGTGCCAGTTGTACATCATAGACCTGAATCAAACCCCTGCTTCCATCTCTGGCAGTGTTCAAGGACCAGGATGGATGGGGCTTGGAGCAACCTGCTCCAGTGGAAGATGCCCCTGCCTGTGGCAGAGGGTTGGGACTGGGTGAGCTTTAAGGTGCCTTCCAACCCAAACCAGTCTGGGATTCTGTGATTCCCCAACATAAAGGCTGTTTGCGTTTCCATTTTGAGAACCTATTTTCAAATGCTTATAAATGTACGTGCACAGCACTCACAGAAAAAGAGGCATCTGGGTCGATCTGGTACTTGGCTGCGATTCCAAAGCGAGTGTTGCTATTCCCAGCTGTCCAAGCAAGATTCACAGCAGTTTCCAGTTTATCATTCACCTTCTGGTAAATGGAGCCGCCAAATTCCGTTCCATCATTCCTGGAAGGAATGCATTAGCCCAGTTTTAAACTGCATCCCAAAACAATCATCTTTTTCTTTTCCCAGTAAGATCTATATTTGCAGAACACTCACATCTCATTTAATATCCCTGGAACAACTAAGATAGAGACATTAGGCCAGATTGGTTCTGAAGTTGTTTTTAGAGGCTTAAATTCACTGATGGTTACTCCATTTCAACAAACAACTTATAGCACTGAAGAAAAGCCATGGCAAACTATCAAAAACAGACAAGTGATGCCAGCTTCCAGTTTTCCCTTCTCTACATGGGAGTCTTTGTAGTAAAGAGAGGCCATGCCCCAGTCCCAGAGCCTGAGCAACCATCCTACAACTGCCTCTGTCACCAGACACAGATGGACTGTAGCAGAAGATGCCCTTTTAATGTCCAAGGCAAATGAACACCACTTGCTATAGTCCTTATGGTACATCTGTACCATAGATATCTCTAGAAATGAAACTATTATTACTTTGCAGGGAACACAATAGCTTTCAGCACTGCTATGGAGTAGCACAACTCCAGTTACTACTGCCACCAATGGTACCCAGGGAATAAAGTGTGGTAAATAAAATGCAAATCATTGGAGCATGCAGAGCATAAAAACAACAGCAAAAGGCTTCTAAAAGCCTTGCACTCCTTGTCAACCAGGCAGCAATTTCCATTTTCACTCATTTTCTTAAAAGAGGATACAAACATACTGCACAAAACGGGCTTTAAACCACAGGAAGGACTCTGCAAGTAAAATACAGTTA